AAAATGAAGTCACCGAAATTCAACACACCTTTTTCCATCAATAGTATATTCTAAGGCACCTGAGGCAGGGCAAAATGGCCAAAGAGTCTCTGTAGTCCATTCAATCACCAGATACAAAAGATAACAAGACAGATTTATTTGTATTATTAACCCCAGCCTTCTGAAGGAGTAAGCCCAGCTATCAACAACCTTCTTCTCTGTTAGCATCAGAAAAGCAAAGCTTGTTTAAAAAGACTTAAGTATTCTTTTCTTCAGCCCAGGGGGAATACTGAAAGAGCAATCTCTGGATTCGCTTTCAACGTACGTGCAAAAATATCTTTTGGTTTGGCACTAACTATGATTTATTTTTCCCAGCGCTCTTAAACCTTTACACTGCATCAGCTGTCAGAGCCTCGCTCAGGATAATCACAAAAAGTGACTGCTGGCAAAGCCTCACTGAAATCCACGCCTTCAAACACAGCAAGAACTTTACAATCTATTCGGCATGAATTGTTTCTGGAACACGCTTCCAGAACATCTGCTTCCACCTTGCTTTACATCTTTTCATTGCCAGCGACCAAAAGCTGCTATCTGCACTGTGTGAGTGTTCATTAGTAATTTGATGTTTTAAACAGCAAAATAAAGTGAATAAATCACCAGTTATCACATGAACCATTCCTCATTTGAGTGTTTCATTTCTTCTTAGCAGAGAAACAGCAGAGGCACAATATATGTTCTCAGTGAAAATATTTACAATCCAAGGATCTGGCACAAATTTTGTTTGACTTCACCCAGATATTTGTTGGACAGCAGTCTAAACTTCAGTAAATTGTAGAGGGAAACGTCAATTTGAGAGTGTTACTTTAGCCAGTTCAACGCTGTTTACTGCTTGACAGTGCTCTGAGCAAGACATTTGCTATAGGATTCCCATTCCACATTTTTTTTATTGCAGCACTGACAAAGAGCTCACAGCCAGCCTGTTGCACCATGCTGCAACAATCAGAACACACAACTCGTACCTAAAGCACAAGTAGTAAAGATAAGGAAGCCACAAATTATTTCTTGCACTTTTAATATCAAAAGAATAAACTATGAAAATTTCTAAGAATTAAAAAAAGAGCAGAATATCAGGTAGGTTGTTTTGGTTTTAGTTTTTAAATTAATCTTACAAGAGATCTTAAACAATTTCAAAAATGTACGAAACATATTAAAGCATGGAAAGTTACTTTACCGATAAAACAGCATTTCTTTATAATGTGCTTTTCTCCAATCAAGATAAGGAAGTGTATGTGTATCAAAACCACCAGAACAAATCATTCATACCACCAGAACCCATCACTTGTCTCCATTCCAAGGAACAGCACAAGTGGTTTAAGTCAATTTAACCGTAGTGTGCCAAAAGAACAAAGCAACATAAAACCAGTGACTGATAAAGACAATGCAGAGAAACTACACAAAAGAGAAATCTATCAAGTCTTCAGCAGCCACAACTTGGTCTGTGGAAGTGCTCAGCTGATTTTGTTTCACTGACCAGTTTTACATGAATAACTTGGTATCAAATAGTAAAAAATGGTAGTATTGACTCCTGTAGTGCTGGTTGTGGCTGAGATAGAGTTCACTGTATTCACTGTAGCTGGTAGGGGGCTGTGGTTTGGATTTGTGCTGGAAACACTGCTGATAACACAGGGATGGTTTCGTTACTGCTGAGCAGTGCTCACACAGCATCAAGGGCTTTTCTGCTCCTCACCCGACCCCACCAGCGAGGGGCTGGGGGTGCACAACAAGCTGGGAGGGGGCACTGCTGGGACAGCTGAGCCCAACTGACCAAAGGGATAGTCCACACCATATGACGTCATGCTCAGCATATAAAGCTGGGGAAGAAGGAAGGGAGGGGACGTTGCGATGATGGTGTTTGTCTTCCGAAGTCACCATTACGTGTGATGGAGCCCTGCTTTCCTGGGGATGGCTGAACACCTGCCTGCTGATGGGAGGGAGAGAAGGAATTCCTTGCTTTGCTTCTGCACAGAGCTTTTGCCTTCCCTGTTAAACTGTCTTTATCTCAGTCCACGAGTTTTCTCACTTTTACCCTGCTGATTCTCTCCCCATCCCACTGGGGGGGAGTGAGCAAGTGGCTGCGTGGGGCTTAGCTGCCGTCTGGGGTTAAACCATGGCACCTGTTTACAGTTTAGAGCATCAACATGTTCACTTTATAGGTGATAAATGTATCAAATTTCAGATATTACAGCAGTCAGCAACAGCGAACTCTAAACCAGGCAGATGGATTTGTACTGAACAGAATCAAAGGCATTCGTACATTCTCTTCTGCCAATTTCGGCACAGGAGTTTTAACAAGCAGCACAGACCTGCAGCAACCCTAACGTCGCCAGGTAGCACAGAAGAGATTTTGTCTGTGCCATTAATTACTCAGTTGTAAAATAATCAATTTAATCTAATAGCTACTTTTTCACTTAGTACACTTCATAAAAACATTTCGTAAACCAGCATTTTTGGTTATAAAGAGCAACAGCTAATCCTGGTAGTACTGAATCACCCTAAGCAATCCTCACTGAAGCTGATGGAAATAGGCAGCACCTACCTGGCACTTCTCCCTATGCTGAAGCGATTATGTTCTAATAAATGTCTCTCTGAAAACCCCGTATGCATACCAAGTCCAATTCCAACTACACATCTTCCCAAATAAGAGTTTACACTGGGTTTGTCCAGCTAGGCTAGTTAGTAAGCTTTCTAAGCAATGTTCCAGGTAGTAGTGGCTTTTTTTGTTTGGTTGTTCAGGTTTTTTTTTTAATATTAATTGCAGAAGGCAGATTTAAAAGCAGCCTGCATTTGAATAGCAGGAGCGTAATTGAGAAGAATAACACCTGATTGAAACATTGCCTTGCACATTCTAGATCTCCCAATCTGCCTACAAAAAGCTTAAAAACTACCATATAAATTAAAACTTGAATGAAAACATCCAGTAAGTATTTACTCCCAGGATCAGGCACAGAGATAAGCGTGTGTTCTGGTGACTGCCTTCAAAGTTCAAGAAGCAAACGCTACGGTTGTGCCCATCACTACATTTCTAAAGTCAAAACCTGTTTTGTGTATGAAAAGCAGATCTGTAACACTACTTACATAATCGACAGTAATTAAAAAAACAGAAAAGCACATCACATCAGTGTCACAGTTCAACAATGCCGTACCGGTAACAGGCAAATTTAGGGCTACGTTTTCTTTCCAAACTTGTAGAAGAAATACAAATATATGACCCTTGCATATTCTGTTAAGAACAAACCGTAATTAAATAAAGCAATCGTTTCTTCACTACATACAGAAATAACAATGTATTTACAGTTTTCAAAAGTTCTGGACTTCTTGCGTTGTTTTGCAGGAATTCATATTGTTCTGGCTGAAAAATAGTTACACAACAGTTTGGAACACAAACAGCTTCTGAATAGAGACAGGCTACTAATTCTAACTTAACTGATGTAAAGACTGGAGTGCCTTAAAAAGAAATAAAACCATCCGTTTCACCTAAACATCCCATTATTTGTGGGATCATATCGCAAACTACAGAAGCTTTAAGATGTTTCACACAAGTTAGATATTGCTCATTTTCACAGTTTTCCCAACTTAAGTCTTAAGAAAAGTGAGCTGCAGCTGTAACTGCTTTTGTATTCAGGTTGCTGCTGTCATTACAACATGCATTAACATCAGAGTTACAAATTCCCCTCATGTGTTTCCATTTACAAGCAAGGGCACTCTCACATACAGAGCTAGGTTTCTTTTTTTTTTTAACTCCACTTAAACCGGAAGTGTACCAGTTTGAAACAGATCTGCTGATATTCAGATTCACTCTAAGCTCCCAAGTTGAGATGGACAGTCTTAACCTGCAGTCTTGAAAACTATTTTAAAGCAGCTGAAAGCTTTAAACTGCAAATTTAAAGCAAGACTCACACACACACACAAAAATCAGAATCAATAACTAAAGGTAGTATTTTAAAAGAAAATGAAAACTACAGTAAAAATCTGCATGAGAAAAAGATGGTATTTGTGTTCAGAGCTCTTCCTCTAAGTTGGAAATAATCAAAGCACCTGTTCCGAGTAACAGTACTGAAGAGGAAAATTGAAGGCTTCACAGTAATACACACTTTCAGTGCCACTTTTTTACTACAATGTTTCCTGAAAAGACAGTTGGGACTCAAAACTCGCAGACTGAATATGGGAAAGACAGTCCAAATTTCATAGCAACAGAATTAACAGTTAAAGCAAACAGAAATTATGTAACTGACCTATTTCTTACACTGTAAGACTTCAAAAGAAAAACAATCAGTTTGAAGTCCTGCACATGCATGTGACAAGAGCTGCTGGCACAGGAGCTCTGAATCATTCAGCGTGCCCTACATACCAATCAGTGTAAATTAACTGCAACCAAAGTCTGAGAAGCTCAAGCCAGAAGAAAACCTGATGAGATTCTCTGATACGAAAGGACTAAATAAAGAAATATTAACTTTCCAATGGATTTTTTGAGAGATTACACACTCAGGAGCTGTATTTGCTACTTTCACAAACAGTAGAAAGTATTGTCAGTCCTTCCTAGTCTCTTATAACCAAGAGTAGGTAGCTTTCAGAACTCTTATCTACATGCACAAGCATCTTCTGCAAAAGAGGGAAGATGCTGCTGTAAAAACAGATCTTTTCAAGTTGAAAAAATCACTTTTGGTCAGAATTGTACATTTAGAGGATTTTGTGTTCAAATAGTAGAGATTCAGCATCACATACAAGAAGTCTGGAAGTGGCAGCATAGCTGCACGTAAGGCATCTCAGGAATGATTCCAACACAGCTCACTGCCTTCAGCATTTTATTAGGTTCAACTAACACGAACAACCTCTCACAGTTTAAGATTGTTTACCACTAAACCCGTGGTCACTGGGATCAACTCTGAAACATCTGTAG